GGATTCTCCTCCTCATGAGGCGACTAATTCGCCTACAGGAAAGGAGTGAAGGGATGGATGGATGGAAGAGCAAACTCGTCCTGGTCGATCCTTTTATGGCGTGAGTGACCACGCGCACGCCAACTGCTGTAAACTGCGATGTGCTACACCAACACCACCACAAAGGGATTCACACTCCGAGAGCCAGTGCAACAAAACGCAGACACACTTGCAAATGCGCAAAAAGCAGTACAATAACAAAAGGGTAGGGTAATTGCAGAGAGTGGGGTACATGCCTGGGGAGGGCGTTCGGTTACGGCGGTTCAAGCTGGCGTAGCCGTTATTGGTCGGCGAATGGGCAGAGTGGCGATTGTTAGGAAGCGTGGAAGCATTAGTAGTAGTGGAAGCAGCATGACTGCAGGAAGCACTGTGCTCGTGTCCTCGGTGGTCATAGGACCGCCGGGCACTGTTCAGGTCATCCAGCAGACTGTCGAGCATGGACAGCTTCTGCGAGATGATGTCAGCACTGTCGGTGGGACTTTTGATGGTACTGTACTCCGCAGAGTTCACCGGCGATCGGCGGTTGGGCGCAGAGGCGCTGGCGTTCTGCGGCCGCCTGGCCACCACCGTCGTCCTACCACTACCTTCGTGCATTGGTGATGTGGGCGTTGTCGGTGTCCGAGGCGTAGTCGTCGTGCTGCGACCGTTTACCGCTGCATAGTCGTGTGAGGAGGCGTTGGAGCAGCTTCGCCTGATGGACTCGTTCTGGTACAGTGGCTGTTGGTGGGAAGGTAATTAAAGTGAGTAAGGTAATTAAATGAATTAAACCAACAAATAGACTGACCTCCTCGGGCACGTAGTAGTGTGGACTGTAGTGCTTGACGACCTTGGCACTGGTGTACGAGGGCGTACTGGCGATGGTCACGTCTCCCGGTCTGTTGAGCTTCCAGCCGCCTGGATTACCGGGGTTGTTCTTCAAGTTGGTGGTCGCCCGTTCCAGGTCCTGGAGAAGGGAGTCTGGGCAGATAGGCAGATAAATCAGTGGTTAGTCGTCTTCGCACACAGTTTGGGTGTGATCGCAATTCGATCAACAGACAATGGAGAATGCAATGCTAATGCCAATGGGCATGAATTGAGAGCAGCATCGACAGCAGATCACTGCGGGCATTGAGGAGCAGCCGTCGTACAATGGTGTACAGTGGGATGCTGCAGTAGCAGCAGCAGTTCTCCTCCTCAGGAGCAAGAGCACATTTTTTTCGCCCCTTTGCTGGCGCAGTGGCATGTCAGCAGAAGCAGCAGTCACTTTCCATGGCACAGTGCGCTCAGTGCATCCCCTGGCCTATTCCCAACAAGTAAGAAGCATCAGCAGCCGAAGCAGAGAGAATCGCGACTTGTACAAACAAATGGATTCTTGTTCTCGTTGACTCGTGGCAGCTGCTGCTGTTTCTGCTGCTGTTGATGTTGACTTTCAGCAGATTCGTTCGTTAGTTCCTTCCCGGTGCTGACGGCAGCTGCAACTGCTGTGAACACACTTCACTGCCAAATTCACCAGCCACGACGAGAGAGAGAGAGAGAGAGAGAGAGAGAGAACTTTGTACGATATCGTCGTTTCCCTTCCAGCCAGCACATATTTTCCTGTACACTGCCAAACACACAGACGGTGCACGGCATCAACAAGAATCGTGAGAGCAGGCATCAAACGGAGCCGAAAACACCAGTGTGCAGCAGCAGCATCGACGGGAGTGACGAAGATGGGCACAAAAAGGCACTTTCAATCAATCTATCAAGTTGATTGGATCGATCGATTCTAACGAGTGGCGAAAAAAATTGAACAACGGCTGTGCAATCGACGAGTGAAAAGGGCAACCAATTAGAGAGGAAAGGGGAAACGATATTGCGAAGAGAGACGCAACAAACAGAGCAGTGCCATCCAAAACTGATCAACATAAAAAAAAACACACACACATACACCGAACTGGGGAGACGAAAAATGGGCCCAATTAGATGAGACAAAGACAACGGACGAAGAGGAAACAAATCAAACCACCAGCTAGCGACTGAAGGAGAAGACAAAATGCAGCTACTGACAAACGGAGAACAGCTGAGCTGTTGATGNGAGACAAAGACAACGGACGAAGAGGAAACAAATCAAACCACCAGCTAGCGACTGAAGGAGAAGACAAAATGCAGCTACTGACAAACGGAGAACAGCTGAGCTGTTGATGTGCTGCTGAGAGCCGACGAGAAAGCCAAGTGATGGACGGCGGCAAGAGTGTGCCCCCGCCTGTGCGCCCAGTTGGCAAATAAAGTTGCGCACAGGTCTATGTATTTGACAGCAGACAAACTACAGCAAACAGACACACACACACCTTGAATACGTTCCATTCCCTTCTTGCGATACATCGTGACAGGCTGATTAGATGATGCGGACGAAGAGAGGGGAGAAGAGGAAGGGGAGAGATGAAGTGAAGGTGCGAAGAATGACGAGGTGAGAGCAAGAAAGAGTGAGGAGAGAGATAGCTGTGATGAGAGATTATCACTCGGTAGTAAATCAGCGGATGAAATGAGTGAGAGACAAACAGTGAGTGAGAGTGGTCGACAGACGGCAATTAGACTGACTGGCGACCAGGAGAACAGGTGTGACACGGCCACAGGCTAACACACACACACAGTCTCAGTTTCACATGGTCACAGGGAAAGTAGCAGTCTGTAGTTGGTTAGATGTCAATGTCAAGTGCACTGTGGTCAAGTTGAGTAGTGACCAGTGCAAAAGAACAACAGCAAGAGAGATGCCGGTTATTCGGGTCTATTCAGCGGTGCTTCTTCTTCAGCTTTGGAGTCACACCGACTACTAACAAGCAGACAGGGCACCACCACCATCAACAGCTGCACCACCGGAGCAGATGTGTTGACAAGAATGTGCAGGCGGCGCAATGGCAGTGCTGCAGTGGTTGTGCCGACGGGGAGAGAATCGCTGGATGCAGTGCAGTGCAAAAAGAATGACTCTGATTCAGATCAGAAACAGTGAGAGAGGGAGTCGGTGTGTGCACGCCACGGGAGGCAATGTCGGTCACCGCAAATGTCGATTCGGCGGTGGTGGTGGTGGTGGCAGAAGGAAGGGAAGTAAAGTCGGTGGTGGTAGTTCTTGAGCAGCAACCGAATCGACTGATGCTGC